TCACTGATTTGCTGCCATCATTTTGGTGGACAGAGCCAAGAAGGTTTAATAACACTTCCACATTCATTCTGATATTTCATTCATTTGTTGTTCTCCGTCGATACACTGCAGTAGATTTTATCTCTTGTGTGAAAGCCGGACTCGTCCAATCCATCGTTCCTTTTCGGTGGGAGAAGCTGTGAATGATATTATAAGACTTATGGGCACTGTTCAACTATTACAACCCTAACACCTCGTTTTATTTTTTGTCGAATCTGCTTGTAGATGCATTCTATGCCATGCTCACGAATAGACACTCACTTTTGACATTGGCGCCATTTAGCGCCAGAGCCCAGGACTAAGCCTTGGAGAAGGGAGGAACTCCAGGGCGGGTGAGCGCCCATTTGTTGCTCTTTACAAACTGATCAACATGGGTGAATTACGCATCATAAGCCAAAAGATGAAGTATGTGAGATCTCAGGATGAGTGGCGTACTCACCCCTGAGCCCTTCTCTAGCAAAGGTTTATGGCTACGTTGATCGCGGTCTAATCGGGAGTTTTTGTTTTTGCTCCCGTGATCAGGACATCAACTGCCACTATGAACACACTTCCGAAGCAAAATAAAGTTTTGAGATATTGGGGGTGTAATAGTTGAATTGTACTGACTTACATATGTTGCAGTCCTTTAGTTGTTTTCTGTGGCTCTCACGTTTGCACATTCACCGTCTCCGTCTTGCGCCTATATCGCCTGTCAGCTCGCCATTCCTTAGACAGCGTTCATACTTCGCGACTCCGGAGATTAGGAGAGTAAGCGACAATGAAAAAAATTGTATTGACGGGAGATTAGGATAGTAGTAGATTAGGATAGTAGTAGAGTAGGAGATTGCGCTGACAAGATTAGATACGTATCGATTGAAATCGCTGGAGGTTATAAATTACGATTTAAGGATACCAGGATAGTATCCCGTCGGGATCAGGTAAATTTTCCGGTGACACACCTACCCCAAATTTCGGTTATTGACTGTGAATACCCTAAGGCCGACGTCATACTTTGCGATTCGATTAGCGATTCGCTCGATTCGCTAGCGATTCGCCAGCGATTCGCTAGCGAATCGAGCGAATCGCTAATCGAATCGCAAAGTATGACGTCGGCCTAACACTCTGTCGCTTGTTTTTTTAAGGGTAGTCATTATTTCTGCTTGAACTTCGCGTTCATTCCGCGATCATGTTTTCATATCCATTGGCGAGAACATGGTCCATATTTCTTTTCAGAATGGTGTACATAGACTACGAGTCCATTTCGGAAGCACTATCCGATTTTGGCTACTCACTGCGTGAATCGGACGATCTCATGACGAAAAGTAAGTGTTTAATATCAATTCATGAAATGATCTTTTTGAACATAGGTTCACTTGATGGGTGAAATTTTTCCGTGTTCTGCATTTCAGTTAACTCACTGGCTACGGAATTCAATCTCGATGTTGATAACTTTATCGACGAGCTACTCTCATTTGCTGTCAATATGAAAAAAATGGAGGTTGACATGGGAATTCTAGAGCACATGGAAGCGGTGATTTCCCTCTACAGTTCACTTTGCTTCTGTTAAATTATTTGGCTTTGTACGCATATTTTTATACGCATGAACTGGGGAAGTAAGTGGGTGGATCTCTCGTAGAATTAATTTTGTTGGAAAATGAATCACCGAAATAGTTGGAATCGCTAGGCTGGGCCGCACACTTTTACGGAGATTGATGTTCACTTTTAAGAAGGTAATTCATTTAAAGGTACATAAGATGATGTTCTGGTTTAGAAGTGCCTAGATCCTTTATGCTGCGGTAAATTGGCCATGTGAAATTATTGAGGTGTCTATCAGGAGAACTAGAGAAACTGCTCGCTGACTGAATAATTGTAACTGTCAATAAGAGCGAAGTATTCAGCTAACAAATGATTCTTGCATGTTGATGAGTTTTGTACCAATTTCGGCTTACAAGAAGCTGCTCACATTTTCAAGCAGTGTTATCGTCCGTCAGAGTCTATTATATTGTTCTTCTGATCAATCAGAGGACGCTTATATACATAACTTTTTACTTTAAGAAGCTTGTCAAGGAATTGAAGAAAAATCTAGACCAGGTGGTCGCAGCATCATCATCGAAACCGAAAAGGTGTGTTATAGGTGAACACCGCTCGTAATTTCTAGTTACACCCCTTACTTTCTCAAGCCCACAGTCTTCAACAGAAAGGCTTGAAAGGGGTACTGATCTCACTCATGTAAGATTATCCTTGCTGTTGTCTATATGCTGCTCGGGCGTTTTTTGTGAGGAGAGAGTCTGTCTTCCTCATTTATTCGTCTTTTCAAGGGCGGCATTTGGAGAGCGTCCCGTTAATCAGCTAACATTCGATCTGTCTTGCATCGAAGCTGAGGACTCGTCTAATGAAGACTTTGGATCTACTAACCTCACTGGAGTTTATCGAGCGTTTGCACCTGTGTTGTGAGTTTGCCATTGTTTTAATTGGTACCATGAGGCTATATTTTTTCTAATTACACCAGTTTCCGCACTGTTGAATAACTCGTACGTGAATCACGAGCTGAAGCGTAATCGCTTAGCGAATTACTGGCTCTCCATTTGTATTCAGATTCCGTCCTCTGTCCAAAATCGTTCTCTGATTCCGCAAAGGAATGAACATTATATAATAACTTATCTGCAAATTTGTTGTTTCCATTTTATCAGGGTAACTCTTTTCAGACCTTCTCCGTCTAA